TTAAATCCTCGTGGGTGTGACAAATTAGCTTGCTGACTTTGCATCAAATTTACTGCGCATTTGCGACTCCGTCCTTCTGAACGAAATGAACGACTCCGTCCTTCATCTTGCGAAATGAACGTCGACGCCTACACCATTCTGACCATCTAGTGTGTGCCACCAGGAAAAAGAATGTAGGAGACGTTAATTACTTTTTTTAGTTTTATGATTTGCGTGGGTTAAAATTGATATTGCGAGACACAGTTTCGGCACTAACTTGCACATTCTTGCGTAACCCATATAGCGACAGTGAATATTACACAAAAGCAACATTTTTTGCACAAGCATGGTTAATTCAAGGAACAACACTTACCATGGGATCGAGGAGAATGAGATTTTGCATTTGGTGGTTTCGTTTGCAAAAATTGCAGACATCCGTAAACAGACGCCCGACACTCGCTCGCCATGGCGGGATCCGATTCTCATGCACGGACACATCAATATTCTGCTGCGGAGCGAAACGAAAGGGCCATCGTGTCTGACGGAAAAACCACTGCCAATGTGGTTGCAGTTTCACATTGTTTGCGACCACACACTGAAAGTAGCCATTGCTAGTATTACCGTCTTCCATCAAGTTCAAAATTTCCTCAGGTTCCGTTTCGAAACTTAATGAAGACCATGATGACTGAGTGTCTGCTGAAACACTGATCTCATCCTGTGCCTCCATTTCTCTAACTTCTTCTTCTTCTGCGACCAGAACTGATGTTGCTTCTTTGGGGGTTGCCAAATAATCCACCTCCTCCTTTTGTTCCGTGTTATTTGCATCCTGCTGATTCTGCATCATTACCTCGTAATGTTCCGCCTTCTCTTCTACTACCTCTTCTTCGTCTTCCACTTCTTCTTCGGTGCGTTCTTTGTCAGCGTCACCATTCTCCACTTCAAAATTCGTGCTGGAAATGAACTCCATGTCGTGGTCTTGTACAACTTCTTGTGATGGCGTACTCGCTGCTGAGCTTCGTCGTCGTTGTTGCTCACAAAACAGCCCACCCAAGATGTCCCAAATACCTCTTCCGTCTACTTGGGACCACGGACAAAAGTCATTGGTCAATATTGGTATTGGCATATTTCTTTGGGATAATGTGAAGGAAATGCCATAGATGGCAGCCAAGCTCAAATGATCGGAATAGTGCTTATGTCGGAAGAAATTGTACCATGGACAGAGACTCGATGTTTGTCTGGATTCAGGACGACTTTGCATGGAGTGCAAAACATCGCCAGTAAACATTGTGTTGTGGAGATTGCAGAATTCAAACTGATAAGACTCATCACCGACAAGCTCCCCGAAGTAGAACACAGAAGGTTTTGTAACATTGGAAGTGTCAGTTGGAGGCCAAATAAGAATACGCTGTGTCTTAAAGACCTCACGTCTGTATTCACGTTCATAGGATGATGATAAGTGAGAATTGTTATTTGAAGCAATGGGTAATGGAATATTGGCGAATGAGAGAACATTTTCGTCGAACACGGCTGCGCCACCTTCACAGTCTTCATTATTATCTTCCTGTAATTAAAAAAAAATAGATTTTCGATTAGTTATAAACTCATGAAGGAAAGCCGCTACACACTCTGCATTTCAACACACTACACCGCCCCACAGAGTTTTATTATCAGCCACACACTCGATTGATTGTTGTAAAATTTGAAGAACCTTTCGTCAGGTCGGAGTTACCAGTTTCTGTAGGCCCCAGTATGTGGTCTTGAACCTCGCCGTGGCCTCTAAGTTAACCCTGATCCGATAATGCTTCCCTGATACCCGAGATGAAGAAAAAGACAGGAGACGACGCAGACACAGGCGTTTACTTCAGAGTTCAACCACGCTGGTGTCATTGAGCTACGATCGAAACCTACGTGA